GGGGGGTTTTTTTGGAATTTTTTTTTTTTTTGGGGGGGGGGGGGGGGTGGGGGTACTAATAGTTGTGCATCCGGTAGTCGTTAGACCATTGACCTCGGGGGGGGGGGGCGGTCTGCACCGAAAAAATGATCCAGATCCAAACGACCGTCTTACGGTTCCTCGAGGTATATTTTTTTCTGAAGGTAAAAAAGAGACTGATTCATGTTCTGGTGGGTCACAACATGCTTCAGTACACGGTTTTGGCTCGTGTGCGACCAACAAGACACCGAGCGCCCTGTTTATGGGTCGCCTGCAGAGGGCAAGAGTATCATCGCACGCTATCGGCTGCAGTTTGTGGATGTCGTCAGCCAAAGGCCTCTCTCTGATGGCATGCGTTGTACACTCATCACACTTGACTCGGAGCAAGCAGCAGAAAAAAAAGGCAACGTCCAAAAAAGGCAACACCGAACCACACTTCGGTTCACGTTTGCAGGCCGTGCGCAATCAAAACTGGACAATACGCTCTGTTTCTGGGACGCGAGCAGAGGGTATGTGTATGACCACACGCCACTGGCTGCTGTTTGGGGATGTCGTTGGCCGAAGGCCTCTCTCTGGCGTGCGTTTTTGACTGGTCGCGGGCGACACACGGAGCAAACACGCGGCGGAACAAAAAAAAGTCCACAAAGTCAACACACCGCAAAACACTTTGGTTCACGTTTGCAGGCCGTGTGCAATCAAAACTGGACAATACGCTCTGTTTCTGGTACGCGAGCAGAGGGTATGAGTATGACCACACGCCATTGGCTGCAGTTTGTGGATGTCGACGGCTTAAGGCCTCTCTCTGGCGTGCGTTTTGTGCATGACCTCATGATACTGGCCTCTGTTTGGCCAGCAGACGGTGTAGTTCCTCGTTCTGGCACGATCGGGGTGTGACCAGGGGGTACCCCCCCCATTTCTAACAGCGATATTCCAACAGGATCGCTGTTGGAAAATGGGCCAATTTTCGAACAGGCCGGCCGGAATCGCTGTTGGAATTTGGGCTGTTGGATTTTGCCATTTTCCTACCCGTAAGACGCCCAAATTATTGTTTTTGGCTCAGAAAACGACCCCCCACCCAATCCAATCGGTCCGAGAAGAATTGGTGCCAGCCGGGATACGATTTGTCTTTTCGGTTTCGATATTGTGCAGTGTGTAACCCACCGAGTCACGCCTCAAACATTATGTTGGTATCAAGTTGTCTCGTCATGGCAGAAAGAAAGCACAGCAGCGTGAGCACGTGTACCCCCGACGTGTTTCCATTAGGGTAAAATTCAAAGAAATACCGAATGATTGCGTTTGGGCTCATTTTCCGCCAAAGAGAAACTAGCATTGTGTGATACTTTTCTGCCGGAGGTTTGATAAATTTTGTTACCTAGCGTCACCTGCGGTAGGCATCGGCCCTGCCCCCCCCCCCCTCCCCTCTC